ATTAACGGATGACGGATTGATTTTTTGAGATAAATGACGGATGAACGGATGACGGATATCCGCGGATCGCATCTCTACTCCAAAGTAGCACATAAATTACAAATAATATTATTCCATGGTATACCAATAATAATTAATAAATGCAACAACTATCAAGGAACAAATATAGATCATGAGTAAACCAAAACACAGCAATTAAAAATTAAATCTTACGTGCATGCATGAATAATATGTTTGAGCAAACATATAACGAACCAGTTGGATAAATTTACATCCAATCTATATCACAAAAGCGAATCAATCATTTATGGAAATGTAATCACTATAGTGATTTGATCTCAAAAACATACAAAGAATTTGAAGAGACCATCACATCAGAAATAAAGTAAACCAATTACAAACAAAGATTATGAAAGCAAATTGCTTTCAATGCACATAAATATCAAAATATACTTAGGCCCAGAATTACAACATCCAGCAATAATCACTTGGAACAATATCATCGGAGAATTGGATTCTCTTATGCAGAGGACTCTTACCAGCTTTAATAACTAAGCTTATATAATTCCTTCAACGATAACCAAACAAATAACAAGAAATGATCTTCGAGTTAATCCACACTCTACAAGAAAACTTTTTCGCCAAAATCTGGCCTGTGAGGTCATATTTCTTAAAACAATATGAAATAAGCAGGGAACCAATAAACTTAACTCAAAAGATCGGGAATTTAGAATGTCATGGAATGGCTCTAGAAAAATAAGATGTAGACCGTAGGAAAGAAGAAGAAAACCACTAATTCTATCATTAAACAATAACCGATCACTCTAAAGATTTTAAACATCAATCACATCATGAATTAATTAAACATCCACTTCCGTGACAATATTAATTACAAGAACACTAATGCTATCACTAAATCCAAATATCAGCAGCAATAATAACAACAACAATAATAATATGTACTGGCTTTCTGATACTAGTAGGCAAGCTGTGATAACATTTAAAGTTAATTGAGAAATTCGCAGGGTTTCTCATAAGGTTTTACCTAGATGGACAAGTTCTAACGAACGTGGCTATGGAGGCATGTCAAGGAAAAGGTAATTCGCATTTAGAAGATATTCGTACTAGAAAATTGTGAATCAATAAGTTACCTAGCAAGAGATGGCAAAGCAAAAAAAAAACAAATAATGATATGTGCTATCATCTAGATTTGTTTCTAACAAATCAGATGAATTTTCTATTCCAGATGATAATATCCTTGTAATAAATAAATAAATAAATAAATAAATATTAATCATCAATTTATCAATTTATCAATTACAAGTGACAAATAATTAATTTGAGCCGCGGATAAGCTCCGAAAACAAGTTATTCATAAAAAACTATACAAAACCAATCAACATTATCAATTATTATTATTATTACTTAATTTCTTCTTTATTTTATTTCGAAACTGAAGCTGGTTTTATTTATATTTGCATAAAATTTTTTTATGTAAAAAAATTTGACTGAATCGGCATTAATTAAATCACCCGTAGTTACGCAATGTCTTGCGGCTAATGTGAGCATGGCTGGGAATATTCTTTAATTCCTGGAGCCTTACTGGTGGATCACGAATTAATATGTTATTGTTATTATTAATTAATTAATAAAAAATTAGCATGTGCTTGAGCAATTATTATTTGATTACTTAATATATTTAAAAACAAAAAGTTGATGTGTAACTTTTACTTACTATTTTTCCTATTTAAATTCTTGTCTATCTGGAGAATCATTATCTCATAACTCTGAGAATAGAATGGTCTGTGTTCGTTGCTTACATAATGAAAATAACTAGTTGATTGCATTGTTTTTTGTTGACTTGTTTAAAAAGGTTCTAATACACCAATTGATCCATTCATTGATTTGTGATCTACACAATTTATAAATAATAATTTCTAAAAAAAAAATAATTAAAATCGTGTACACAAATATTATCGGAAAAATAATTTTTAGTAATTGGTATCTGACGCTTGAATCATTAATTTGGAAACTATAATGATCAGTTATATATAGAATAAAATACATCCATTCTTATTTTAATATTATTTACTTAATCGAAAAAAAAAGAAATATAAATACATGAAATTAATGAAATAAAAAAAGCGAAGTTTTTGAAAATAAATTATTTTTAATTTCTATAACAATAATATAATAATAACAATGGATAATAATAATATGAGAATTACTAACGATGGTTTTGGCACGTTTTCTCAAATTGACAATTTTCAAAGTTCAAACGCACTTCCAAACGATAATAACATATATCCATCATCTCAATACCCAATCGGACCTCAATTACAAACCCCACTTCCAACACAACCCACACTATTAAATCAACAACAGGATATTCCAAATACTTCGACTTCACAACCACAAATGCAACCTCCAATTTTTTCTCAACAACATCAGAATCATTTCCCACAAACAAATCATACGATTTCATGTACTCAAAATCATAATTATCAGATTGAAGAATTGCTGAATCGTGTACATCAATTGGAAGCTTTATTACGTCAAAATAATAATGCTTTAATGAAAAGTATTAATGATATCAATAAAAATTTATCAGAAATTTTGAACAACAACAACAACAACAACAACAACAACAACAACAACAACAACAACAACAACAACAACAGCAACAACAACAACAACAACAACAGATTTCATTATAATCGTAATTAATGAAATTGTTTAAGCGTAATTTATGAGGGTCTGATTTATATGCTAACATAAGATATATTTTGAATCAACTTGTAAGAATATTTATTATGTTGATAAATCCTACTTTTGGTTTTTTTTTTCTAAAAAAAATTTATAAGCAATCAATTATTCTTTTTAAGCGTAATTTATAAGGATTAGATTTATGTGTTAACATAAGATGTATTTTGAATCAACTTGTAAGAATAACTGTTATATTGATAAATCCTATTTTTGGTTTTTTTCTAAAAAAATTTTATAAGCAATCAATTAATAATAACTGGTAATAAATTAGAGTAAATTTTCTTCATACTAATGTTGGTTTTCAAAGGTGAATTAAAAATGATTTGAAATTTTGCTATCCCTTAAAGGAAATTTACGCCAAATTTGGCGTAGATTTACAATTACGATTTTTTACAAAATAAAATAACTCCGAGTGTGTTGTGTACTATTTAAAAAAATGTTTTCAAATAGTATCTCTATATATAATTAATATGGTGCAGGACACCTAGTCCCTACAACTTTCTGCGCCACAGCGACAGATTTGGGAAAAAATTCACAATCAAAAATGCAATAAAATTTTTAC